GACTGGAGAAACTCGTAACTCATGAGTATATTAGTTTCCTGGGCTGCTATAACAAGTTACTACAACTTGGTAGCCAAAAACAATAGAAATTTATTTGTTCACACTACTGGAAGCCAGAGTCCAAAACTCAATGTTTCTCTGAGCCAAAATCAAGGTGCTGGCAGGGTCTTGCTCCCTCTGGAGCTCTCAAAGAGAATCATTCCTTGCCTCTTCCAGCTTCTGGCAGCTGCCGGCATTCCTTGACTTTTGGCCATACCAATCCAATCTCTGCCTTTGAGGCCGCATTGCCTCTTTCTCCTCTGAGTGTGTCAAATCTTCCTCTGCCTTTCACTCTAAAAAAGACACTTGTATTACAACCCAACGAGATAATCCAGAAGAATTTTCCCAGGGCAAGATACTTAACCACATCTACACTGACCCTGTTGCTTTACAAGGTAACATTCGTAAGTTCATCTAGAGATAAGAAACTAGAATTTGAAATGAAAAATACGCCGAATGGCATTAGCAGATAATTAGACATTGCAGAAGAAAAGATTAGTGAACTTGAAAGCATAGCAACAGAAAATAACTGACTGTTTAAACTTGGAAAATTTATAGCACTAAAATGCTTATATTAGAAAAGAAGGAGTTCTCAAAGCAATGAGCTCAGCTTACACCTTAAGAAACTGAAAAACAAGAGCAAATTAAATCCAAAGTAAGCAAAAGGAAGAAAATAAATATCCAAGTGGAAATCAATGAAACAGAAAACAGGGAAACAGTAGAAAAACAATGAAACCAAAAACTAGTTACTTGAGAAGATCAATAAAATTGATCTCAAGCCATATGAAGAGAGAAGTTACAAATTACCAATATCAAGAATGAGTGAAATATCATTACTGTATGTTCTACAGATATGAAATGGATAATAAGAGAATATTATGACACCTTTATGCCAATAAATTCAAAAACTTAGATGAGATGAACAAAGTCCTTGAAAGACACAAATTACCAAGCTTACTCAAGAAAAAAATAGATAACCTGAGTAGTCCTATATCTATTAAAGAAATTGAAATTGAGATTAGAAACCTTGGATTAAGAACATTCCAGACCTGGATGGCTTCTCTGTTAAACTCATCAACATTTCAGGAAGAAATAATACCAGTTCTACACAAACTTTTACAAAAATTGAAACAAGGGAGTGCTTTTCAACTTAGTCTGTGAAGCAAGCATTAATCTGATACCAAAACTAGACAAAGTCGTTATAAGAAAAGAAAATTGATTGGCACAGTAATTCATGCCTGCAGTCCCAGCACTTTGGGAGGCCAAAGTTGGTGGATCACTCGAGGCCAGAGGTTCAAGACCAGCCTGCGCAACATAGCAAGACCTCATCTCTATAAAAGATTTAAAAATTAGCCAGGAGTGGTGGTACATGCTTATAGTCTCAGCTACTCGGGAGACTGAGGCAGGAGGATCACTTGAGCCCCAGGAGTTTGAGATTGCTATGAGCTATGATGATGCCACTGCATTCCAGCCCAGGCAACAGAACAAAAAAAAGAGAGAGAGAAAAGAAAGCTACATATAGACCAATATCCCTCACAAATATAAATGCAAAAATTCTAAACAAAATTTTAGCAAATGGAATTCAATAATATAGCAAAAGGATAATACATTATGACCAAGTGAGATTTATTCCAGGAAAGCAAGGTTGACTTAACACTTAAAATTCAATCAGTGTAATTTATCATATTAAAAAAAAAGCTAAAAAATGAAAAACAATTGCTTCATCTCTAATTATGTGATAGAAGATTTTTCTGTTTTTATGCATGTACCATTAATGCCTACTCCTGGCACTTTATATATGTTCATTATCTTTAATCCTAGTAATGTTCCTAAGAGGCAGGTATCACTATCCCATTTTTAAATTTGAAGAAACCATTTCCTGACCAATTAATTTGCCTAAGATTCCTCTCCTGGTAAAAGGCAGAAGTGAGTAGCAAACCCAGGTCCATCTGGTTCCAGAGTTTATACTCATTCTGTATACTACATGGAATACAGTGACTCTTTATAAAGATAATCTCCAGTTTTTTATATTTCTTACTTTACCTTTGTAAAGTGTAAGCTCCTTAAACACCAAATAAATTAAGAAATAAAAACCATAATTCTAAGGTGAGGTAAATTTTTAAAAGAACATGTCTTTAAACGATCACTATTTATATGTCACATTATTATTTTGATTTAGCATAAAAGATACTCAAATAGCTGTGTTGCCATTGTGGTTGTCGTTATTATTATATCAATGTAATAGATACAGTTTAGATTACAGTGAAATACAGTATTAAAAAGATTAGAATTAATCTTTTAATTAATCTGCTTAAAATTTCCTTTGTTATAGAGTCTAATATAAATATCAATGTAAAAATAGGTATCCATATATTCTATAGTGGGTTTTAACAAATTTGACTTATTAAATTTAGGAAGTTTTTCATTCTAGGTTTACTCCATTTTATAGAAATCCGGAGGAAATAAAATAAAAATGTAAGGGCTTCAAACTACTTCATTGTTGTAAATAAAACTGTGTTGCGTGGTGTTAATAATTATCTCCTCCCATTTACAATCTGGTTAGAGAGACAGCATTAATATGGATATGTCTAAAGGTAAAACCTCTGGACTTCCTTTATCAGCTTTCTTAGCCCAGCCCTAAGGAAGAAACCCTGAAAAATACATACTTGCTCTCCCAACTGTTTAATATAATAATGTAATGCCAAAGTACAGCAGAACTCCTACCTGGAGCCAGTAGTGTACTTGCTCTTGTATCATAACTATTTCTCTTTAATGGGCAGAAGTGCAATCCCAAAGCCTCAGTGTATTTTTAATTCACTTTTATAGCTTCCCAAAGCTGCCTTGTAAATAGTGTTACCATCCCTGTCTTATACAAACTATTCCTTCTTCTTTATGTATTAACAATAAAAGCAATAACACGTCAGCAATCTTACCTCTCTCCTGACTGACTTTTACCATTTCTGCATTTCAAAGAATATTGATGGTGATGTCAGAAAACTCTGACAGTATAGAAGGAAACCTTTTCATCTTCCTGCAAGATGCCTGAAATTCCAAGTGTATGTTGGCATAATTCTCTTCCTGGCATATGTTTATGAAAAAAGAAGTTAATATGTCTAAATTACTAATTTTATGACTCAGCTAAAGGTTTTAATTCCAGAACTGTATATCATCATTATCACACTGGACTTCTAAACTTGCTAGTAGGAAAATTTTCTTCTTTCTAAGACCTAGTTGTTAATCCAATTATCACTTCTTAATAAGTTATGTGAAAATTTTGTCTTGAAGAATAGAATCTCCTTACAGTCTAAGCAGAAATATCATCTTTACTTACAATGCAAAGAAAGTAACCCAGCAAAAGGAGCAAGTAGCCAGTTAGTCTCAATGAATTTAGTCTTAGAAACTCACTGTTTGAATAAGTTACCATAATAGGTACTGTATCTGATCATTTGAAATGGGCTCAATAATTATTTGTGAATCTCAACAGGTAATGTTCTAAGCTTAAGTTAAAGAGTTTACAATGATGGTTTTGTGAATTATAGTTTGGTTTCCCTGAAACTTTAACAATTACAATTTGTTTTGATTTTAAAGGAAATGTTGGGTGAACTCTTCACTCCTGTAGAAACACCTGAAGCACCAAACAGGGGATTCTTTAAAGGCTTATTTGGAGGTGGGGCACAATCTCTTGATAGAGAAGAACTATGTAAGTTGATTTATTTAATTTGGATAATATATCTGTAAAACAGAAACATTCAAACCATATAAATTTTTCTTGCATGTGTAAATTATGTTCACTTTTTCCTCTTTGTTATAATAATATATTCATGTTTTAACAAAATACATAAAATTATTTTTGATCTTTCTATCCCAAGTCAGGGAAATATTTTACTCAGGAAACCAAAATAAGAATAGCTTTAGGTAGCTAAAGAGTAATATTCACAATTTTAAATGTATAATTTAGAAAGTACTTTATTTTCATTATATGGGTTGTTCATTATTATTTTAAT